TTTATTCCTCTCTGAAAGCTTTCAGATTTGAATCCCAATTCTACCACCTAATTACTGTGTAACTTTGGACACATCTTAACCTCTCTCTGCATCAGCTTTCTTGTGGAGTCAAAGTAATAATTGTTGTTAGGTGCCGTAAAGCCCATTCTGAGTCACAGTGACCCTGTGTGCAGCACAAGGAAACACTGCGCAGTTCTGGGCCATTCTCAGAATACTTGCTATGCTTGAGCCCATCGTTGCAGCCAGTCAGTCTATTTGTCAGTTTAGGGTTTTCCTCTTTTTTGCTGACTCTCTACTTTACCAAGCATGCTACTTTCTCTAGGGACTAGTCCCTCCTGATAACATGTCCAAAGTACATGAGATGAATACCCACCAAAACCAAATCCGCTGTCATTGAGGCAAATGGGACTCCTAGACACCTCATAGGATAGGGTAGAAGTGCCCCATAGGGTTGTCAAGGCTGTCATTCTTTACGGAAGCAGATGCCTTCATCTTTATCCCGTGGAGCAGTTGTGGGTTTGAACTACTGACCTTTTGGTTAGCAGCCAAATGCTTTAACCACTGTGTCACCACCTCCTTGCATAACATGAATCGCTATTTCTACTTGTAGTATCATTATGAAGATTAAATGATTTAATCATCCCAGGTTCACAGTAGGTACTATATAAAGTATTACGTGTTATTCTTTATCCCTAGTGTTCTGAAAGTTAATAATAATTTTAAAAACAAAATAATTATTTCCTCCCCCTTTTATTTTTGTTCTTTCTCTTGAACTTCTTTTCACACATTGTTTGGACTTCCACATTGGTTTTCTAGTTCACAGACATCACCACTAATAAATAGTAGTGCTGAGATTCAGGTGTCAGGCAGCTTAATGGAAGATCACATGCTCACAAGCACTGTGCCCTACAGTCTGCTATTTACATATTCATCCACAGTCCAGGGAGTTGGCTCTCTGCTCTTTATTTCAGGTGATGGTGAACTCATTGTTTTCCTTCATACTCTTTGCAATTTTGGGGCACATCTTTGTTAAAAAAAAAAAAAAAAAAAACTTTATTGAATTAGAATCTACCTTCATCTATGAATTGCTTGTGCTCACATCCTGGCTCAGTCAGATACTAGCGGTATGACCTTGCACAAGTCATCTAAACCCTCAAAGCATGATAGCAAAGTCTACCTCCTAGGACTGTGAGGATAAAATGAGTTAATATATGTAAAATGTTTAGAACTATGCTGGCACATAGCAAGCACTATATATGTGTGTGTATATATGTTGTTGTTGTTGTTGTTATATGCCATCGAGTCGGCCCCAACTCATAGCGACCCCTCCTTGGGTTTCCGAGGCAGTATCACTACGGAAGTAGGATTGCC